TGGGCCACAGCAACCATTTACCATCAGGTGGACTGTGTGCTCGTTTGTCACCCTATCCTATAAAAAAAAAACGTAAACGCCTTGTTCGGGTGTTCTCGGTTCATTATCATCATCATCATTACAGCCATTCATAATAAGTCCACTTCTGAACATAGGCCTCCCCCAAGGAATGGCCACAGTCTTGAGCCATCTGCTTTTATCGACTGTTCTACCAGGTCATCGCTCCATCTAATGGGGGCCAAATAAATATTTGTGTTATTAGAATTTATAATTCAATCAAAAATAGGTACTACCATGTTGTAATAAGGTGCACAAACTTATGGAAAAAAGTATTTCTATTCGGATTTGGAGTACACTGACACATTTAAACACCAATGATATTAAATAATAAAAAATTAAAAAAATAATAAGATTTTATTAAAATTCCTTTCTGTTTTTATATCAAAAAAAAAAATTATCGAGATCATTCCAAAAACAAAAACATAAGTTGAGATAGCGGTCTATATGTGATTAATGTGATGTGACTAGAATGTGCAAAGAGAATTTAGTCACCGCGTTTAGTAGTATGTGCATCACAGTGCACATTTAGGTAGGATTCCAGACAGATCAGCTTACCTTTCCCTTTCACAGACCGTATGTCTTCGATGGATCGGACGGAAGATACTTTAATACAGATTAAATACTAGTAAAACTGCGGTTGCCAACCTGCTCGACAAGCGTGGCAACTATGGCAATATACCCCCATGAAGAATTACACAAATAGACGGCCCCCAGTCCCCGGCGGCCCCGCTATTCCTGGCTACGGTGGCGACCATGGTAATGGCGGGGCAGAGGGTGCTAAGAATCTCCGGTGGAGGTTCCGTTGCCACCTACGATGACTCGACCTGGCAACATTTAACGCACGTACCCTGAGGACTGACGAGAAGATCCTGGAGCTGGAAGAAGAGATAGACAAGTTGCGCTGGAATATTATAGGATTATCCGAGGTCCGAAGAGAGGGGGAGGACACGGTTATTCTCGAATCCGGCAACTTGTTCTATCACCGGGAGGGCGACCATCTGTCCCAAGGATAAATCTAACAAGATTTATCGTCCACAAGTCTCACGTTAACAACTTTTTAAAGATTGGGAGTGTATCGACGAGGGTTGCGTACCTTATACTCAGAATCACCAAACGGTATTCGCTGAAGGTCATACAGGTTTACGCGCCAACGTCGAAACATCCCGATGAGGAGGTGGAGGAAATGTATGAGGATATTTCCAGAGCCATGCATTCCTCTTAAACCCACTACACGGTGTTGATGGGAGACTTCAACGCAAAACTAGGCACAAGAGAAAGCTGTGAGCTGAAGGTAGAGAAATTTGAGATAGGGAAAAGGAACCCAAGGGGCCTACCGGGGGATAACCGATGCGGAAGAAAGGTTCTCGAGTGGCAGCCTCGTACCGGTAGGCGTAGTGTAGGGCGACCCCCCACTAGATGGAGTGACGACCTGGTGAAATATGCAGGAAGTTGACGGATGCAGGTGGTTCAGGACCGTGCTTTGTGGCATTACTTGGGGGAGGCCTATATTCAGCAGTGGACTTGTGAAGGGCTGTAATGATGATGATGATGAAATACTAGTAAGCAGAAGCTTTAACAGTCACATGCATCGTTATAGATTGTAAACTTGCTTTTTTAGATAGGTACCTAGATGTTGTTACGTAAAAAGGATGCACCTGCGCTCTGGAACACTGGTACTATTATTGATTCTGACTTCAGTCACAAATGAGTTATAATATGCGCCTGCTCCTGAGCGACTGAGCTTTGCTTGACGTTCGATAAAAAAAGATATTTTCTCAGAGATGAAATCTAAATAAACTGAGCAAGTAAAATATCTAAATACAGAATTTCACCTGAGACGTTCCCGAGAAACTAATAGTAGAGAAACGTAATATATACATACATAAACACTCACGCCTGTCACCCAGAGGGGTAGGCAGAGACTACAGACTTCCATTTGGCACGATCCTGACACACCTCTCTCGCCTCCTTCACATCCATACACCTTATATATATATATATATATATATATATATATATATATATATATATATATATATATATATATATATATATATATATATAATAGGTATATATATGTATATAATCGGAATCTCGGAAACGGCTCCAACGATTTTCATAAAATTTAGTTTCCAGGGGGTTTCAGGGCCAATAAATCGATGTAGCTAGGATTCATTTTTAAAAATGTCGTTTTATCCGTATTTTAGGCTATAAAAATTGCTACAATAGCATTAGAATAAAAAGGTAAATTTTGGCAGTGCTCAAATGACTATAATAGCTCAAATGGGGATGTCGGGCCGTCCCGAAATTGTAATACTCTGGTTCGAGTCCTGTAATCCGGTCTGACTTTTTTTTCTTTTTTTCAAGTTCCCTTCTTTTTTGAGAAAATCTGTTATTTCGTGTCCTTTTTTAGTATTTTTTTAAAACACGAAAAATAAATTAAACTAATTGCACTCATGATTTTTTATTCAAATAACCAGTTCAGTGTTTTCTATTATGTCGGTAAGATCAAAAACTATTATTCATATTTCATCAGTATGTAATTTGTATCTAAATATAATTTCCAAAACACACGATTTCAAAAAAAAAAATACCGGTCATTCAGGTACTATACAAGAATGCTCACTGAAACTATTAGTTTAAGGGTCCTTCGAATTTATTCTTTTATTTAAGATAGCATTCTTTTTATTAATGTTAACTGCAGGTGTCCATTGGCTGCAGTAGCCACTTAACATGAGGTGAACTTTTTTTTTTAATTATATTGGTCAGAAAAATAATATTTTTAATTTGCGTAGTATCCCTCGGGGTACGCTTATCGTAATGGCCATACAAGATGCAGCCTTCAAAGAGAATAATTACGACGACGCTGCTAAATTTTATCCTGAGAGATGGCTGAATATCGATTCTAAGACCCATGCTTTTGCCTCGATATCTTTTGGTTACGGAGCGAGAAAATGCTTGGGACAAAATGTTGCCGAAACTATGATAACTCTTCTTACTATTAAGGTTAGTAAGTTATAATTACGTAAAACAAATCTCAACATGCCATTATCTTCAGGGGGGGGGGGGGGTGACCCACTCTTACGTAATATTTTGTAAGTCGAAATTTTAAATGAAGTTCCATCTACCAATGCATCTAATGAGTTACCAATTGTTTCCGATGGAACAACATGGCTTAATAACTTATTCAGTCCATACGATGATTGATGATCTGAATTGATCTAGGTTTTTCTGTGTAATTTATTTTCTTTAAGATTATTTAAAACTTTTTAAATTATAATAATGATATTCCAAAAACTAGATACTATCTCAACTAGTTGTTTAATAGTAATGGTAAGTAATCTATACTATAGAATTTATTGCTATCAGATATAGATTTTATATCTGATAGCAATAAAAGAGTGTAACCTAAATTATCTGTAAAAAAATAAAAATCACTTACGTCAAAGTCAAACCGTGAGTTTTAGGGTAACTGATCCTTTTATATTTTATTATTCTGAGAAACGAGACAGAATCTTACGTAAGAAGAGGGAGGATGTGTTCGAGTAATCTTATGTACCCTTACATGGAGGTAGGGGGTGGAGTCGAAATCGTCAAAATCATCTTTACCCATTCGATCATTTCATTAGAGCCTTGCCGGTAATCTATTACACTACACACAATAATTTGTTATAAACATCGGTTACTTTAGAGATCGATGCTATAGATTGCAAGTACATCTATGTCTACCTATTTACAAAGCTTGCTCAGTGGCGAAGCTAGGGCTCCAAACTAGGGTAAGCCCAAGATATGGTTTTGTTGTTTTTAGCAGTTTAATAAAAATACACCAATCTTGAGCTGTCTCCACTCTTTAGTTTCATATTCAGTGCTGTCAAGGACGTGTTTAACAAAGCACACAGAAAGTATACTACCGCTAGATAGATTGTATGACATGCAATTACACACCTTCGGTGGTTTTTAAAAGAGCCGTTTGGGTTTGCTTGAGATGTTTACAGACAATACAATACATGAACATAAGAAAAACATGAACAAAGTACAAACAAACTATGTACAAAGTTAAAAAAGTGTGAAACTACGAAATTATTTTGTTTAAGTTATATGCATAAAAGAACAGTTATAATGAGAAGATAAAGCTTTGCTAATTTTTTACCATAAAATAATGACTATTTATTACATAATTATTCATTTTCAATTTATAATAAACCGTACAAAATGATATTCGATTCATAATAAACCGTACAAAATGATATTTTTTAACTCATATGGTAATATTAATATTAAACTAGCCGATAGCGTATTTGTGCCATCTAGCGTAATCTTTAGGTACCATCGTGAGAATCAACCAATTTTCGTTCGATAAAATGACTATAGAGTTAAGTGTCTGCCGTGTAGTGGCGGTTGAGAATATCCACTACCCCATATCTTCCCGTGGGTGTCGTAAGAGGCGACAGAGGGAGACAGGCAGGAGATGGGCAGCAGCATCTTTCTGATAACAACTGTGTTATAATAAAAAAACTGCGGTTGCCAACCCGCTCGCCAAGCGTGGCAACTATGGCAAATATCCCCCCATAAATAACGACGCAAAAAAAACGGCCCCCAGTCCCCGGCGGCCCCGCTATTCCTGGCTACGGTGGCGACCATGGTAACGGCGGGGCAGGGGGTGCTAAGAATCTCCGGTGGAGGTTCGGTTGCCACCTACGACGACTCGACCTGGCAACGTATAACGCACGCACTCTGAGGACTGACGAGAAGATACTGGAGCTGGAAGAAGAGGTAGACAAGTTGCGCTGGTATATTATTGGATTATCCGAGGTCCGAAGAGAGGGGGAGGATACGGCAATCCTCGAGTCCGGCAACTTGTTCTACCACCGGGAGGGCGACCATCTGTCCCAAGGAGGTGTCGGATTTATCGTCCACAAGTCTCTCGTCAACAACGTTGTAAAGATTGGGAGTGTGTCGACGAGGGTCGCGTACCTGATACTCAGAATCACCAAACGGTATTCGCTGAAGGTCATAAAGGTTTACGCACCAACCTCGGCGCATCCCGATGAGGAGGTGGGGGAAATGTATGAGGATATTTCCAGAGCCATGCATTCCTCCAAAACCCACTACACGGTGTTGATGGGAGACTTCAACGCAAAACTAGGCACAAGAGAAAGCGGTGAGCTGAAGGTGGGGAAATTTGGAGTAGGGCAACGAAACCGAAGGGGCCAGCAGCTGGCCGACTTTATGGAAAAAGAGGGACTCTTTATGATGAACTCTTTCTTCCAGAAGCGGCCCCACAGGAAGTGGACCTGGTCGAGCCCCGACGGTTCGACAAAAAATGAGATTGACTTCATTATGACTACCAGACGCCAACTGTTCAGTGATGTCTCAGTGATCGCAAGGGTGAAAACTGGCAGCGATCACCGAATGGTTAGAGGCACACTGAACCTAAATGTTAAGTTGGAGAGGTCTCGTCTAATGAAGTCAACGCTCCGTCCCCCTCGTGCTCTAATCCAGAATCCCGAAACCTTTCAGCTCGAGTTACAAAACCGCTTTCAGTGCCTAGAGGATTGCAATGCAGTGGACGATATGAATGACAAGCTCGTGGAAACTGTCCATGCGGTCGGAGCTAAGTTCTGCAAGACCCGCCGCAGAAGAACACAAAAACTCTCCGATCACACTCTTAATCTCATGGCTGTTAGACGGGAGATGAGGCTGCAATCGTCAACAGATTTGACAGCATACAGGCAACTGAACAGACAGATCTCCAAATGCATGCGGCGAGACTTACGCAACTTTAATACTGCTCGTATTAAAGAAGCGATCGAGCGGAACCAGGGCTCCAAAGTCTTTGCCAGAGATCTGTCTGCCAGAAAGAGCCAACTGTCAAGGCTGAAGACTGAGTGTGGCAACATCGTTTCCGGGACACCTGAGATTCTGAGTGAGATTGAGAGGTTCTATGGGCAGCTGTACACATCATCGTTGGAGCCACACGCAAGTGTGAGTAACGATCCAAGAGCAAGTCTTATCCGACACTATTCCGATGATATCCCGGACGTCAGTCTGAGCGAGATTAGAATGGCTCTCCACCACCTTAAAAACGGCAAGACCCCGGGCGAGGATGGAATTACAGCGGAGCTTCTGAAAGCGGGTGGAACACCGGTACTTGAAGTCCTTCAGAAGCTCTTCAATTCCGTCCTCCATGGTGGCACTACTCCAGAGGCGTGGAGCAGAAGCGCGGTGGTCTTGTTCTTTAAGAAAGGCGACAACGCTCTCTTGAAGAACTACAGACCGATTTCCCTTCTGAGCCGCGTCTACGTGCTGTTTTCGAGAGTCATTACGAATCGTCTCGCATGCAGACTCGACGACTTCCAGCCTCCCGAACAAGCCGGTTTCCGAAAAGGCTTCAGTACCATAGACCACATACATACCCTTCGGCAAATTGTACAGAAGTCCGAAGAGTACAATCTGCCACTTTGCCTGGCGTATGTGGACTATGAGAAAGCCTTTGATTCCGTCGAAATTTGGGCGGTGATACAGTCTCTTCAGCGGTGCCTAGTTGACTGTCGGTATATTGAAGTGCTGAAGTGTTTGTACAGTAGGGCTACGATGGCTATCCGAGTACAGAACCAGAGTACGAAACCTATCCAACTGCAGAGAGGTGTAAGACAGGGTGATGTTATATCCCCGAAACTCTTCACCGCTGCGTTGGAAGACGTTTTCAAGCTACTGGACTGGAAAGGATACGGTATTAACATCAATGGCGAGTACATCACTCACCTTCGATTTGCCGACGATATAGTCCTTATGGCAGAATCGCTGGAGGACCTTAGCACTATGCTCAATGACCTCAATGGTGTCTCCCAACGGATAGGTCTTAAGATGAACATGGACAAAACAAAGATCATGTTTAATGTCCATGTCACACCTATGCCGGTAGTTGTTGGGAGCACTATGCTCGAAGTTGTTGACGAGTACGTTTACCTGGGACAAATAGTCCGACTAGGTAAGTCCAACTTCGACCGAGAGGTCAATCGACGGATTCAACTCGGCTGGGCAGCGTTCGGGAAATTACGACACATCTTCTCGTCAGGTATACCTCAATCTCTGAAAACTAAAGTGTATAACCAGTGCGTGTTGCCAGTGATGACTTACGGATCTGAGACGTGGTCCTTCACCGCTGGCCGTATGAGGACGCTCAAGGTCGCTCAGCGAGCTATGGAGAGGGCTATGCTCGGAGTTTCACTGCGTGATAGACTCAGAAATGAGGATATCCGCAGTAAAACCAGAGTGACCGACATAGCCCAACGGATTAGTAAGCTGAAGTGGCAATGGGCCGGCCATATAGCTCGAAGAACCGATAACCGATGGGGAGGAAGGGTTCTCGAGTGGCAGCCTCGTACCGGTAGGCGTAGTGTAGGGCGACCCCCCACTAGATGGAGTGACGACCTGGTAAGACATGCAGGAAGTCGATGGATGCAGGTGGCTCAGGACCGTGCTTTGTGGCATTACTTGGGGGAAGCCTATGTTCAGCAGTGGACTTGTGAAGGGCTGTAATGATAATGATGATGATGATAGAATTAAGTAGATGGCGCTGTTAAAATTTTATATACTGGAAATAACTAAAGGGAGTATTCTTTAAAATTCTTAATACATTCTTCTGTATTCTTTTGATTTATTACATTAAAATTTGGGCTTCACGTTAAAATAAAATTGTAACACTTATTTCCTATAAAATTAAACCTAGGTGTCTCATATTTTATGCTGCCGTTCAAAATAATATTTTTAATTCATATGGTAATATAAATATTGAGTTATTTAACCTTTAAATACGCCTAACTTAATTAAACTTTAATACTAAAGAGTCCTGTACCTATATTTAAAGTATGAAGAAATGTTTATTGAATATTAAATTTCATTTTTAAAGAATTTACCTTTTCCTCGCCGATTAGCACTTCAACACATTTATATTCATCACAATAAACACTATTATCCTTCCATTTTCACTGAAAATCTTTGAAAAAGCATAAATTTTTAACAAACACAACAAAAACAAAAACATTGAAATGTGAAGTGAACTTGCATACGAATGGCCCGTACCCCATTCGCTAGTCACTAACGCACTCCTAAACAACTTCAGGGCAAAGCCAGGCTTGTGGCTCAATAGTAATTGCTATATAAACATTTCGTAGTTATATTTCATTAGAGAACATTTTGCCACAGGTTAGAAAGGGAGCGATCGCCTTCTCTAAAGCCCGGTAAAAAGCTCACGCGTGCGAGGGAGAAAACCAATCGCTCAATTCAACTCTCCTTAAATGTATGACAGCAGTATTCGTAAGGCTACGAGGTCGTACAGAGTGCGCGGGAAATTTGAAATTGTTTGAAACAGTTAACGAGTTATTTTATTACTTGATTTAATTGATTGATTCATTTTAACGAGGCAAGCCCGGCTTCTGGGCTTCTATAGAGGCTTCGCCACTGAGCTTGCTGCTATATCTACAACTTTTATTTTTAAAATTATCGAGATTCAAAAATATTCGGCAGGTTGTTAGGAAATTTCAATGGAAAGGAATTACAAGCAAGCTATGTTTATTTATGCTCTACTAGCGATTCGTCCCGACTTCGCATGGGTGATTTTTGGATCTCGATAACAGCGCCAACGAGTCCAATTGTGAATCTAATCCACCCAAGAACCCGCTCAAACGCATACGAAAAATTTCATCAAAATCCGTTGCGTAGCTCGAAAGATCTAAGCGTACCACAGAAATATAAATAATAAGGCACCATATATTATTATTAATATTATAATATTAAATATTATTAATATTATTTAGATTTCTGTGAAGCGTACAGACGGCGGGAGGAAACTTTTTTTATAATATGTAGAGAAGGGAATTAGTATCTAAGTAACTTGGTCTAATGTTCGAGAATGTATTATTCAATTTTTTTTTTATGTTCTCTTGGAGTGCCCAAGTAATTTAATAGGAATTGAGGAATATTATTAAAAAATATATTGAACTTATTACTTTGATTGAGTTCCTAGTAGGGTTTAATACTGGCATTTTTATATTATTTGAAAGATTTTGCTATTAGATGTCGTCGCTTGACGCTTGATTAACGAATTGACTGACCCTTTGCCGTCCCAGATATTTTACGCCTGGCGTAAAAGAGATTTTTATTCCGAAATCTTTCGGAATTTAAAGGGTGACGCCCATGTCCAGCAGTGGACTTTTACGGGCTGAGGGGGAAGAAAATTCTTTCCTACATTAAAATTTAAAATAAATTTCATAAATGCAAAATTGAGCAACACCGACAAACCTGATTTTATTTTTTCTATTAATAGGTATACATGTTTCTTTTTACAGGTTTTACAAAAATATAAGCTAGAGTATCATTATGGAGATATCGAACCGACTAGAAGTTTTATTGCGAAACCAAGCAAACCTTTGAAAATAAGATTTATTGATAGAATTTAATGACTATGTTGATTAACCCTACCTAAGTATGTAGAGGAATTATTTCAATATTTTAAGGTTCAATAATTTGTTCCCTATCACGTACTTTGCTGTAATAAATTATATTTTATGAAGGTAGAGTTTTATTTATTAATAATATGTTTTAAAAACAATTAGGTACATGTTATTAAATCGCCGGGTGGTAGCGTAACTTGACTTAGGTCTCGGGTCATAAGCCTCTACGCCAAAAGGCCGGACGGCATGTAAGTACTGAGGGACCAAGCTGGAAATTCGCGAAATGAGTTGCTGATACCCCTATAACACTACACTGAAGCAGGGCCCTGAATTAAGAGTGGGCGTGGCCCCTAATTAGGGACATTCACTGATTTTACACCCTTACTAAAATTAAAAATTAGTTAATATAGTCGTTATTCTCGTTACTTGTCCATTTAGTCAACTGTGAAATCATTTCTACCGAACAAATAACACTGCATTATTTTGAACAAGGGCACATGTTTATGAGTGCTGATTCAAGTGCATTATCGAGTAGAGTTGGCCATGAAGAAAAAAGTAAAACTTTATGATTTTAGGGGCTTTGAAGAAGTAGTAGTTTTTAGAAGTAGTAGTTTAATTAACAAATCAAGTCATTGTGAAATCTTTGTCACCTGCACATTCCCATGATATACCAAATTTTATATCCGACAGAAGAGTTCAAAACATCAAGTACGTTTTACACATTATAATTATGACCTATGTATAATGTACAATAATGATTTTGATGACGAATATAAAGCGTTGAGATTCATGAATAATAAGTATTTAAAGAATCCCAATCTTTTAAGTTGCTTCTCGCTCGAAGCCAAAAGCAATAGATTCTACAAGAAAAAATGACATTATTGAAAATCATAAGCAATAAGAAGTACCTACCTAGTAAGTCATCACAGTGATTTTATTAAAAAAATATATTATAATTAACAGAGACCAGGCAGGTTCTATTTGCCCAAGTATTTTATTACGTACCAAAACGTAAGTATAATTGTTGATTACCGTCTCTTATTTATTTCTAAGATTTCAAAAGCTTTTAAAAGGTCTTTTTGAAATATTTTTAATTGTTTCATAAGATGATAACATTAAATATAAGATGAAGATTGTTTTTATGTTTTTTAGTTATTTGCTAAGATCTCATTTACAATTATTCTAATTCCGACCTCACGTGATTTTGTTAAAATTAAAGAATACTGTAATTAAATTATTGATTTATATTTTTGAAAAGCTCTTTTATTTCTGTAGGTAACTACCATTTTCTTTAATTTACTCTAACAATTGTGACTATTGTGTTCCAGTTTCAAAACTAGAACGCCGTTACATTTTGATGTTTTGTATTTAGCGGCATTTAAGCTATGTAATCAAACTAAAAAATAAATACAGGAAAAATATCCCTCTAATTCACACTAGTTTTAAGTGCGGCTAAGTGACTTTAGCTGCATTACGGTTTTTCATAGTGTTTGTTCTCGGAGTTATGCTAAATTATGTCATGAAATACTTTAACAACGTTAAAGTATTTGAATGGCGTTATAGTTTAGTAATGAAGAGATTTTTAAGACTGTTTAATGTCAATAAAATAAAATGAAAATTAAACACTAAAATGCCGTTAAGGTTGGCTTAGCGGCATTATAGTCGTCGTTGCATAAGCTGTAAATTGTAAAAACACTAAAATTAAAATGCAAAAACATATTTTTGTTAAGCTTAAATCATTATTAAACAAGTAAAAGTACGGCTTTTTGGAAGCGCAAAAGTAGATCTACTTTTTGAAATCGATAACTCTCGCATATACATAAGTTATACTTAGTTGTGAAACGGCATCCATTTTTCATTTTTCCGCGCTTTCATTTCGCATTACGCATTCCTTCACCTCGAAATATGATTTTGTTGGATAAAGGCTATATATTTTCCGGACGGAAGTGCTGTGAATTTTACAGAGCGTACTTAGGTCTTCCGAACACAGCAAGTCCATATAAAACCAGGATCCATTACACACCTACGGTAGTTTCCCGTACGGAATATTACGGGCAAAACGGTATTCCGTATGTGAGGCCGACCCGTTTGTTCCGTTTCGGAATTCCGTATGTGGCCGACGTTAGCCCCAAGCTACCACAGCTAGATAGGATTCTCTAGTTTTTTTTTTTTTAATACCGGCCGAATAAGCCTTTATTACACTTACCCATACAATCAAAGAGCCATTTGTAAGATTTTTTCTGGATTCCTTTGCACTTGTTTCTTAAGTTGTATAATTTCTGTGTTAACTTGTTGCAAGACACAAATGCCCTGAATATGTTGCATACTTGCACTTTGTAATGGTATGTCCACCACAGACCTTCGGCGTCCACTCTGGTCCGTAACTGATATAAAATTTGAAACATTTAAAAAAATACGTATTATTTACGCAGTGACAGAGTGGAATGGCTCTGTCACACTATGCTCTTGCCCTCTCTGCCCACACACTGCTCTACTCGCACAATTAATCACGACGTTTGCAACACAATGGATGTTGAAATTGTGATAGCGTGTGCACTATGCTTATTTATTATAACTAATTATATAATTAACTATAAAAAATAGGCAAATAGGAATTTCATAAAATAAGCATATTATGTTGTCGCTGTCGAGATAAGATTTTTCTCTGTATTTCTTTACTGATACTGGCGGATTTACCAGCAGGCTTAGTAGGCTGGAGCCTAGGACGTCAGATTTTTGGGGCGGCAAATTTCAGACAATTTTTTTTTCATATCTTACACATATTAAAGAGATTTAATTTTTAAAAGGAAAGCTAAAGAAATATTTTCTGCCATTATCTCAAAACACTTTTTCGTTCCTTGCTCTGCCCACTCTTTAGACAACTGCGGCTGCTAAATGTTATACAGAAACTTGTCGCTTCTTCATGTTGCTTCAAGAAATCGTTTTTTTATAAGTTCAACACAACGCTGGCATAAAATAATAAAAAAAATTGTAATATGTGATTGTGAACTAGGGGTGCCTCACGTCGCGAACGAATGCGTCAGTGCCAGATTATTTTTACTACCCAAAGATTTAGTTAAGATTGCACAAGAAATAGTCGAATTGTGGAAGTCGGTAGGGGGAGGCAAAAATTTAATAGCCTACTGGCGGCAAATTTGTGAATCCGCCACTAATAATATAGGTGAACGATGATGATAGATACACTATTTACTGTGAAATTTACAGCGAGCCCTAACCATCTGAGTTAACACAGCTCTTTTAGTTGTCACTTTTAGGTTGATACTATAAAAGTAATAACTATATAATCGTAAGTCGTGTTGTATGATCATATATGAATTATTTCATATACTTTGGAATTGGAAACAAAGTTGGACACAGTTTTTGCTGCAAAATATTTCATCATTTATTATTAAAAAAATTAAATTGCAAAAGAAATCAAGATATTTGGTTTTGTTCATTTGTATGTTAATAGGTTTTTAGGATATGATGGACAGAAAAAGATGTTAATTCTAACCTACTCAAAAAGCTTAAAATTTAAGACCTAGAGTCCTACATAAATTTTTGCATGTAAATGACACTACATTTCACTGTATTATTTTTAAAATTTCTCTCTCAATAAAATAATCAACTTATTTGTGAAATGCTATAACTGTGGATGAGTTGGTTACACTGTAGAATTAAGCAAATAAAAATTGAGGATACTGTCATTTATGCTACAATCCTCTCTAGTAAGACCTAAAAGTTAATGAAAATGGACATTACCATGCATATCCAAGTACCAACATAAAGAAATTTAGAACTCTCAGACAGGTAAACTATTCAGTACCTTGCCCGCCCATGGGCGGGCGAAACTATTTTATTAACATGCTGAACCCGCCAATTCATATTCAAAATTCAAAGGATAAAAAGGTCTAAATATATCTAGGTCTAAAAAATAAAGGTCTATAGAAATCATTAACTCATTTAGGCATAACTTGAAATTTATATTATAAAATTTTTCTTAAAACCTTAATTCACTATTATTAATAAATTACACATATTAAGTTCATAACTAGGCTACCGTTGTCGCCTGGAGGAGAATATATTTAAATATTTTCCTCTTGTCATTTCTTTCGCCTCTTCAAGTCCAAGTTGATAAGCAACATCATGTAGTCTTTTTACTTCCATTATGAGACCACTGGTAGACAGAGATCCAAGTTCTGCAAAATATAAAAAAAATTATTTTAATAATTTTATAGAATAAAGTATAAGTAATATTTTTCAAAATAAAGTATATATATATATACACAACTCGTAACGTAATTAACGCACTTTGAGAAAGAAGTTTGTTCAGAATCGTTTACTGAATCGATTCGTATCATTTTTAATATAGGTAATTTATTTTTCATCCCAAAAATAATTAAAACTACGTTAATTACAGTCGCACTAAATCTGTGCAGTCAAAACAAACTGAAATGGACCGTAACTTAAGGCAATAAGACTTTTAAGAGTGCAGTTTTATTTGTATTATTACTAATTCTGTAATTCAATAAAAATAAAGGAAAATGAACTTTATTTTAAGCTTGTTAGTCTTTACATTCGTGGATTTGTACTGTGACCACAACATTCTTCCGGAATTAGTATAACTAATTTGATAAATAATCAGTGCATAAAAATGTTTAACTAAAAATTCAGTGTGTCTCAGGGTGTGCGTTAATTACGTTACATATATATATATATAATCTGATATTTACTCAAATAATTAAACTATTTGCGTACAATCTTTCAATATCAGTGACAGTAGGGTAAGGCACGGCTGGGGTGGCCCTGTGAGCAACCCTAAAGCTGCTTACACTATAATAGTATCATAATATATAATATTGAAAGAATTGAACTTTTTAATTTTATACATTATTGGACGATAAAGTATCAATATTTATATGATTATTGCATATATAATTATTTTCGTATTTCATTCGTATATCCTGGTTAAAACTAGAGATGGTCAGCCCATGTGGATTTCACTGAATACGAATATTCGGCCGAAAGTTCGGTAAAACTTTTACCGAACCGAATATTCGGCCGCACATTACTCTACAGGATCACCTCGGTACCTAATCAGTTTGTCAAAACTTGTTACCCTAATGCGCACGGGGTTAGCGCAGGACCCTGTCCCTTAAGGTCCGTTTATATCTATAGACACAGTGCGTTACAGACAAGTGTCACATCTAGCGTGCCATAAGCGTGTCGTGTCAGACATCGACAGACACCGTCGTGGGAGTCAGACGCAAACGCTCTCACTGGCAGTCATTGAATAGCTTTAGTAGGAAAAGCACGTTTATTTTTGCAGAAAATGTTCAGACACTTCTCTGTGGAAGATTTAGTAATAATTGCATTGTTACTAGAAGGAGAAGACCGGGATAAAACTAAAAAAAGAGCAAAACGCATGGCCGTTCATCCTATGCTCAAGAAGAGAAAATTTGAAGGAGAATATTGGACACTGTTTAAAAAACTTATTGACGATGAAGATGAAGTGAAAGAGGTTTGCAGTGCAATAATAAAACGGATGATGAAGGAAACAATGCCTCTCCCTACAAAAGAACAGTGGCTAAGAATCGCAGAGGAGATTTGGAATACTTGGAATTTTCCTAACTGTATCGGAGCCATTGACGGCAAGCATGTTGTAATAACTGCTCCGTCAAACTCCGGATCTCAGTTCTTTAACTATAAAAAAACTTTTTCAATCGTCTTGATGGCAATTGTGGACGCTGATTACAAGTTCATATGTGTCCATGTTGGTGCTTATAGGAAAAACAGTGACGGAGGTATTTTTTCAAATTCAAACATTGGAAAAGCATTAATGTCAAACAAATTTAACGTCCCGGAAAGCAAATATTTACCTGGCACTGAAATTACAGCGCCACATGTTATTATAGGAGATGAAGCATTCCCTTTAAGAACCTACCTAATGAGACCATATCCTAAACCTCAACTGTGTGACCAAAGAAAAAACACATTCAATGATAGACTATCCCGTGCAAGAAAAGTTGTCGAAAATGCATTTGGGATTTTAGCTCAAAAATTTCGTCTCTATAACAGAAGAATACAACTTCATCCTGATAATGCTGACAAAGTTGTTATGACGACGTGTATCTTACATAATTATATAAAATCCGGTGGTGTTTAATATTAAAATAAAATACGTGCTTACCATTCCTTTTAAGTTTTATTCCTATTTCGTTCCACGCCTGATCCTTTTTCTGATTGTCACTGTATTTTTTATCAGTTAAATCATAAAGGCATTTATATTCTTTTACAATTTCTATAAGCTGTTCGTTATCCATGGCAAAAAAACACGTTAGCACAGTCCCGATACTCTATTCACACTGCCCGGCAGGTAGCCACAGACACGTACAGACATGAACCGCACAGACAAAATATTCTTTCCGCGAATACTGGCCGGGCACGGCCTGTGTCTGTCGGCGTCTGCGCGGCCGTGTCACGATAGATATAAATATGTTAATAAACACTGTATAGAAGAATATTCACTCATGTCGGACTCAATGTCTGTAGATATAAACGGACCTTTACTCCCCCGCCATACATGACATGTTATTGCATCATCTAGTACCTAGCAAATTGGCACATGCTTATGCTTATAGTTTAACTATTTTTGTTAGAAAAAAGTATTTTGTTGTGTTATTCTTAGTAAAAATTGATTATTATATGATAAAAATGAGTGGCAGTAGATCTCCTATTTGGACTTATTTTAGAGAAACAGATGACCAAAGTACAGTAAAGTAAAGTTACAGCCTTTATACGTCCCACTGCTGGGCACAGGCCTCCCCTCATTTCTGAGGGTTTTAGGAAAGGAAGTGTCTGCCACGCTGCCCCAATGCATGTTGGTGAACTTCACATGTCTACGAAATATTTTTTTTCTTATTCCTCAGACATGCAGGTTTCCACACAATGTTTTCCTTAACCGCTTAGCATGTGGTAAATCAGCACTTAAAACTGCAATTAACAATTCATTGGTGCCGGCAAGGACCGAACCCGGGTTACTAGCGTTCAGTTATATTTACAGCGAGCGTTAACCATCTGAGCTACCACGGCTCTTCAAAAATGTCAAAGTACAGTGAAATGTACAAATGAAATTTTATCAAGCTTTTTATTAGCTATATTTGGAAATAAATCTACAGTGCCCCAAAAACATAACACTATACAAGTAGATTTAACCAATAAATAAAATATATTTTCAACAGTAAAATTATGTAAGATATAGTATTACTCAATTCATACATTTCAATACAGTGTACCCTGAGTACCATTTTCACGAATGTTCAGTGATTTAGCCGAATATTCGGCTGAAAACAAATATTCAGAAAAGCTGCAGAATATGCCAAAAACCAAATATGAAACAAATATTCGGCCCATCTCTAATAAAAACTATTTTTCAAACAAAATCTACCACACAATTCCTAATTATATAATTAATATTGCCAAAGAATTATATTAACAAGAATATTGTTCTTTTACTTCTTACACTGTTAAACTTACATTTTCCATTATATCAGACAGAAGGTAACAAAAAACTTAAATTTGGATCTTAGATGTCTAACTTTTAGTGTAACAATTTAACTATTAGGGTCTAACTTTTAATAATTATTATCGAATAGTATGTACTTATATGAAGTAATTTATAAAATTATATAATAGACATATTTAAAAATAATAAAATACTTCTCAGAACTTACGTTGCATGTAGCTGTAATCATCTTTGGTAAGTCCTTTCCAAGACGGCGGCGATTGGTTATCGTTTTGTAGGTTTGCAAACTCCGATACGCCAGGAACTACAAAAGAATCGTTTGAACGTTGAGAGCTCTCATCGTTATTCGAAAAGTTACTATTGCCGTCACTCATTTTAAATTAAAATACGGACGTTATAACTGAAACTTCTAAAATGAATGGAATGGCCGTAATGGTGGACGGGATGACAACATTAGAAATGAAACGTAAATCGCGGGGATTTTGAAATTGGTCACTTCCAGCTTAGACAAATTTTACGATTTTAAGAAAGGGCAATATAAACTTACTTTGTTCTGGCCAAAGTTCAGGTGAAGCACGGTCGAGCTTTTCTAAACTAAGGAGACTTTCTTCCAAGGATGTCAAAGGAATATCTTCAGATGTTGCTTGCCCTGAAATAAAACAATCTTCATGGAGGGTACAAAGATGACACTAATTTATGTACGAATAGAATAAATTAAATCTAAGAAAATTAAATGACATTTATCAATTCAGAACAGCACAAAAGTAAACAGCAGAATTATAATGTAACAAAACTCTACTTTACCATCGTTTACAATAGAATTTTGTTTCGCGGCCATTTTCCAATTTGTGACAGCAGCCAGCAAGATCATAGATCAAGATGCCATGGACAATAGATGACAATTTTACTTAGAGTAGGTATGAGTGTATACAGAATCATTTAAAAATAAACATTTTATTTTTATTTATGGTCTTTTAAAATAAATTTTAATATCGCCATTACAGTCCGTTCACAGTTATTTTACCTCTGATATCATCGATCACTAATAAAAAACTAGATACATAAACAGTGACAAAAAATGTCTTCACCGAATGAGCGCCCATTCCAACATTTGGGTGCGCTTTTAATCTAGTTACATACGTATAATAATAATAATAATAATAATAATAATAATAATAAAAGGCGTAGGGAAGTGACGACCCCATCGCCCGCTGACGTAAGTTATGTGACAAAACTACTACGTCGGCGCAGTCAGTCAGCGCCCTGCCAAGAGGTGTGAGCGCCGTGCCTAGGCAAAATTGTGGGTGCAAAGGTCCGTTTGTGCATAAGACCGAACCACGAAACGGTGCCGGGCTTGGGCGTCTCCCGTTATTTGGCGCCCATAAATGGATGATGGTACAAAGAGGAACGCGCATAGGGCCGCTGCCTGGGGGTCGCCGGGGCGCGTCTGGAGCTGGCGCTGGACGCGGCAGCATGCGGGCCGCCAGCCGAGCGCGAGGAGCTGTACGATCACCTAGCAGCCCTCCGCATCCATCATCCCCACCAGAAGGCTTGGTGTCGGCTGGGTCTTCTCGGACTCAGCAAGCGGCACCCGCCGCTGGTGGAGCACGTCGCATGCGTTGGTCACAAACAATGAACGCAAACGCACTGCGGGCGTACTTTAGGGCAAAAGGGGAAGAAACCGGATGTTTGGCATATCGGGCTCGGATGCATCGCTTTTTTGCAGAGCTGGAGCCATCTCTATCCGTCACTGAGCAAAACCTGGCAGACCGAGTTCGGTACATCCTGCGCTCCAACATATTTGGTGACGCCGAACTCGAACGACTACGACGTGAGGCTGTTCCCTCATCGGATGGAAATGCTACGGCTGGGAATGCGGCGCCACTAATTGCGCAGCAAACTGCAAATGTGGACGCTGCCGTCAATATTCCATTTGTGGTTGATTCAGACGATGATGGAATAGTCCCCCACGAACTAGAGAAAATGAGGAGCATATTGGAAGAGTCGATGCTGGAAACGCGCAGCATGCCTCTCGAAAATCGACCGCGACTTCCCCCGCATACCCCTTAGCAAGCGAAATCGGGCTGTCGTGCGGGCTCTTAACCCAATGCTGGTGACCTATTTGGAAGCCAGCCGGGACCTTTGCGAGACGGACTCAATTCTTTTTGGCGCCGCACTGGCAGTATGCCGTATTATTGGCGCCAAACTTCCCATGGCTGGACGTGCTACTCAACAAGGTAGTGCCATCCCAGCCTGGAGAAAAAGAATCGAGGACTGTATCACAAAGGCAAGGGCCCTTATCGGCAGACTGACAAGCTTCAGGTCGGGTAATATTAGACCGAGAGTTGTGCGCACCGTTAGAATGGCGTTTGCTGGGACAAATATTAGTTTGTCCCAGCCGGATATCACGCAGAAACTAACGGAGCGCATAGATGACCTGAAGCAAAAAATCGCTGCTTGGGGGAAGCGGATTCGACGATTTAGCGAGAGGTCAAGGCGGTTCAACCAAAATCGTCTCTTCCAGAGTGATCAGAAGAGGCTCTATAAATCATTGGAGCGACCAGAGGTATGTGGAGCGGGCCCAGGACCGGATCAGGCTGACACTGTCGCATTTTGGCGTGGCCTGTGGTCAGAGCCCGTAAACCACAGCGAGGGCCCTTGGATGGAAGTTGTGGCGAGCCAGAGTGCAAGTGTTACGCCTATGGACCCCGTCACCATAACGCCTGAAGACGTGGCTGAGGCGGTCCGTAGGGCCCCGAACTGGAAAAGTCCGGGGCTCGACGGGCTGCATCATTACTGGCTGAAGGGGTTCGTAGTGTGTCACGCTGTGCTCGCCCGACAGTATCAAGAGGCTCTCGATCAGAAGTCGCTCCCGAGCCTCTTCACTACTGGGATCACTCACTTGGTTCCTAAAGATCAGGATACCACAGACCCGAGCAAATACCGCCCCATCACGTGTCTACCCACTATATATAAGACACTGACATCCATTTTGAGCGCGAGAATCACTCGTCACCTGGAGCTAAATCAGGTGATGTCACGCGCTCAAAATGGATGTCGGGGCGGTGGTCGTGGAACCAAGGAACCACTCCTCATTGACGCGGTCATTGGCAAAGTGGTGAAACGCAACCGTCGGAACTTCTCCGCCGCCTGGATAGACTACAGAAAAGCATTCGACTCGGTGCCCCATGCATGGCTAAAGAGGGTCCTCGAGCTGTACAAGATTGACTGTACAGTTAGAGACTTCCTCGAGCAGTGTATGGGGCAGTGGAGTACGATCCTCTGTTATCAGGGCGAGCGGATGATGGCTGCGGAGAACCACATAAGGATAAGAAGGGGTATCTTCCAGGGCGATTGTCTGAGTCCAATCTGGTTCTGCCTCTCTCTGAACCCTCTCAGTACCTTACTGGAGGGCTCCGGGAGAGGATTTCAGCTACGGAAAGGAGGAACAAAAGTGACCCACCTTTTCTATATGGATGACCTCAAGTTATTCGCCTCCAGTCGCTCCCATCTTATGGAATTGCTAAACATCACTTGTGAATTTAGCAATTCCATTGGAATGGAGCTGGGGACGGATAAGTGTGCGGTCCTTCATGTTGAAAGGGGAAGGGTTGCTAACTCTGAGGGCATAGATTTATCTATGCCCGTCAACTTAAAGACCCTTTCCGAGGCTGAAACATACCGATACCTGGGTATGTCACAGAACATCGGTATCGATGAGGCTGGTATGAAACAGTCAGTTTGCGACGTGTTTTATGCACGCTTGACCAAAGTGCTTAACAGCCTTTTGTCCGGTGTGAATAAGACACACGCATATAACGGTTGGGTCATGCCTGTCCTCATATATACCTTTGGCATACTCAGGTGGACTCAGACCGAACTTAACGCCCTGGATAGAAAAGTCCGCACTACCATGACGTCCCATAGGATGCATCATCCGAGATCGTCGGTAATGAGGCTGTACTTGCCGCGAAAGCATGGTGGGCGTGGTTTTCTGAGCGCGCTCACCATGCATAATCGCGAAGTGTGCAGCCTCCGTGATTACTTCCTGGCGAGATCGGATGATCCATTCTATAATGACGTCATTTCTAGTGATAAAGGGCTTACCCCTCTATCCTTAGCCAACGAGCAATGGCAGGACCCAGCAGTGCTTAGCATTTCCGACCGGGAGACCGTATGGAAGGAGAAGGAGCTCCACGGGAGGTACTACAGGGCTCTTCATGAGCCCTTCGTAGATACAGTCGCCTCCCTCAACTGGCTACGTTTCGGTGACCTCTTCGGGGAAACCGAGGGTTTTGTCTGTGCAATACAGGATCAGGTTATTAAGACCAACAACTATCGGAGATACATCCTAAAGGATGGCACCGTCGACGTCTGTCGAGCTTGTCGCCATCCCGGTGAATCACTTAGGCATGTCATCTCCGGTTGTTCGGCGCTTTCTAACTCTGAGTACTTGCACAGGCACAACCTAGTAGCCAGAATTCTACACCAGGAGCTCGCTCTGAAATATGGTCTCGTGGACCGGAAATTGCCGTATTACAAGTACTTGCCGGAAGCCGTGCTCGAAAATGACCGCGCCAGGCTCTACTGGGACCGGGCCATCATCACAGACAGGACTATTCTTGCGAATAAGCCTGATATTGTGCTGATGGACCGGGCACAGTCAAGGATATTTTTGGTCGACATTACCATTCCGTATGACGAGAACCTCGTGAAAGCCGAAACAGACAAGCAAACAAAATATCTGGACCTGGCTCACGAGGTGACCGACATGTGGGGTGGTCTGCCGACCGAAATTATTCCTGTAGTCGTCTCTGCAAACGGGCTAATCCCAGTCAGCCTCTCGGGTCATCTGAGGCGACTGGGACTACGTGGCGGACCGCTCCGGGCTCAAATGCAGAAGGCGGTGCTCCTCGATACCGCCCGCATCGTCCGCCGGTTTCTTTCCCTTTCCCCCTAACCCTCGGCCGTTTGGTCTCCCCTGCCGAGGGCCTCCATCTGGTTGGGCTTTTATTTATTTAAGTATTTTTATATTTATTTTATGTTATTGATATTTATGTATATTTATCTTTTCATTCTCATTTATAATTATATATTTATAGAATCCAACCAGATGAGAAAACTATATAGATACCCCAAAAATAATAATAATAAGGCGTAGGGAATTGACGACCCCATCGCCCGCTGACGTAACAGTTAAGTGACAAAACTGCTACGTCAACGCAGTCAGTCAGCGCCTTGCGAGAGGTGTGAGCGCCGTGCCGCGGCAGAATTTAGGGTGCAGAGGCCCGTTTGTGCTTATGGCTACACACGAAACGGTGCCGGGCCTGGGCGTCTCCCGTTAATGGACGCCCAAATAATGGATGATGGATAAAAAGATAGTGCGCAAAGGGCCGCTGCCTGGGGGTCGCCGGGGCGCGTCTGGAGCTGGCGCTGGACGCGGCAGCATGCGGGCCGCCAGCCGAGCGCGAGGAGCTGCACGGTCACCTACCAGCCCTCCGCATCCATCATCCCCACCAGAAGGCTTGGTGTCGGCTGGGTCTTCTCGGACTCAGCAAGCGGCACCCGCCGCTGGTGGAGCACGTCGCATGCGTTGGTCACAAGAAATGAATGCAAACGCACTGCGGGCGTACTTTAGGGCAAAAGGGGAAGAAACTGGATGTTTGGCGTATCGGGCTAGGATGCATCGTCTTTTTGCTGAGCTGGAGCCATCTTTAATCGTCACAGAGCAAAACCTGGCAGACCGAGTTCGGTATATCTTGCGCTCAAATATATTTGATGTCGCCGAACTCGAACGGCTACGACGTGAGGCTGTTCCCTCGTCGGATGAGAATGCTACGGCTGAGGATGCGGCGCCACAAATGGTAGAGCAACCCGCAAACGTGGATGCCGCCGTGAATACCCCAGTTGTGGTTGATTCAAACGATGATGGAACAGTCGCCCAGGAACTGGAATTAGAGCATATGAGGAGTATATTGGAAGAGGCGATTGTGGAAACGCGCAGTACGCCTCTCGAAAATCGACCGCGACTTTCCCGCATAGCCCTAAGCAAGCGGAATCGGGCTGTCGTGAGGGCTCTGAACCCAATGCTGGTTACCTATTTGGAAGCCAGCCGGGACCTTTGCGAGACGGACTCAATTCTTTTTGGCGCCGCGCTGGCAGTCTGCCGTATCATAGGCGCCAAGGTTTCCACGGCTGGACGCGCTACTGGCCATAGTAGCGCTATCCCAGCATGGAGAAGAAGAATTGAGGAACGTATCGCAAAGGCTAGAGCTCTCATCGGCAGACTGATATGCTTCAGATCAGGCAACAACAGGCCAAGAATTGTGCGCACCGTCAGGATGGCGTTTGCTGGGACAAATGTCAGTTTGTCCCAGCCGGATATAACGCAAAAACTGACGGAGCGCATAGATGATCTGAAGCAGAGAATCGCTGCTTGGGGAAAGCGGATTCGGCGATATACCGAGAGGTCGACACGGTTCAACCAGAATCGTCTCTTCCAGAGTGATCAGAAGAGGCTCTATGAATCATTGGAGCGACCAATGGTAAGTGGAACGGGTCCAGCACCGAATCAGGCCGACACTGTAGCATTCTGGCGCGGCCTGTGGTCAGAGCCCGTAAACCACAGCGAGGGCCCTTGGACGGAAGTTGTGGCGAGTCAGTGTGCGGGTATTACGCCCATGGACCCCGTCATCATAACGCCGGATGACGTAGCTGAGGCGGTTCGTAGGGCCCCGAACTGGAAAAGTCCGGGGCTTGACGGGCTGCATCACTACTGGCTGAAGGGGTTCATGGTGTGTCACTCTGTGCTCGCCCGACAGTTTCAAGAGGCTCTCAACCAGAAGTCGCTCCCAAGCCTCTTCACTACTGGGATCACTCATTTAGTTCCTAAAGACCAGGGTACCACAGACCCGAGCAAATACCGCCCCATCACGTGTCTACCGACCATATACAAGACACTAACATCCATTTTGAGCGCGAGAATCACTTGTCACCTGGACTCAAATCAGGTGATGTCGCGCGCTCAAAATGGATGTCGGGGCGGTGGTCGTGGAACCAAGGAACCACTCCTCATTGACGCGGTCATTGGCAAAGTGGTGAAACGCAACCGTCGGAACTTCTCCGCCGCCTGGATAGACTACAGAAAGGCATTCGACTCGGTGCCCCATACATGGCTAAAGAGAGTCCTCGAGCTGTACAAGATAGACTGTAAAGTTAGAGACTTCCTCGAGCAGTGTATGGGGCAGTGGAGTACGATCCTTTGTCATCTAGGCGAGCGGATGATGGCTGCGGAGAACCACATAAGGATAAGAAGGGGTATCTTCCAGGGCGATTGTCTGAGTCCAATCTGGTTCTGCCTCTCTCTGAACCCTCTCAGTACCTTACTGGAGGGCTCCGGGAGGGGATTTCAGCTACGGAAAGGAGGGACAAAAGTGACCCACCTTTTCTATATGGATGACCTCAAGTTATTCGCCTCCAGTCGCTCCCATCTTATGGAATTGCTAAACATCACTTGTGAATTTAGCAATTCCATTGGAATGGAGCTGGGGACGGATAAGTGTGCGGTCCTCCATGTTGAAAGGGGAAGGGTTGCTAACTCTGAGGGCGTAGACTTATCTATGCCCGTCAACTTAAGGACCCTTTCCGAGGCTGAAACATACCGATACCTGGGTATGTCACAAAACATCGGTATCGATGAGACTGGTATGAAACAGTCAGTTTGCGACGTGTTTTATGCACGCTTGACCAAAGTGCTTAACAGCCTTTTGTCCGGTGTGAATAAGGCACACGCATATAACGGCTGGGTCATGCCTGTCCTCATGTATACCTTTGGCATACTCAGGTGGACTCAGACTGAACTTAACGCCCTGGATAGAAAAGTCCGCACTACAATGACGTCCCATAGGATGCATCATCCGAGATCGTCGGTAATGAGGCTGTACTTGCCGCGGAAGCATGGTGGTCGTGGCTTCTTGAGCGCGCTCACCATGCATAATCGCGAAGTGTGCAGCCTCCGTGATTACTTCCTGGCGAGATCGGATGATCCATTCTATAAGGACGTCATTTCTTGTGATAAAGGACTTACCCCTCTATCCTTAGCCGTCTCTGCAAACGGGCTAATCCCAGTCAGCCTCTCGGGTCATCTGAGGCGACTGGGACTCCGTGACGGACCGCTCCGGGCTCAAATGCAGAAGGCAGTGGTCCTCGATACCGCCCGCATCGTCCGCCGGTTTCTTTCCCTTTCCCCCTAACCCTCGGCCGTTTGGTCTCCCCTGCCGAGGGCCTCCATCTGGTTGGATCTCTATTTATTTGTGTATTTTTTGTATTTATTTTATTTTATTGATATTTATGTATATTTATTTTTTCATTTTCATTTATAATTATATATTTATAGAACCCAACCAGATGAGAAAACTATATAGATACCCCATAATAATAATAATAATGCTCACCATGCATAATCGTGAAGTGTGCAGCCTCCGTCATTACTTCCTGGCGAGATCGGATGATCCATTCTATAATGACGTTATTTCTAGTGACAAAGGGCTTACCCCTCTATCCTTAGCCAACGAGCAATGGCAAGACCCAGCAGTGCTTAGCATTTGCGACCGGGAGGCCTTATGGAAGGAGAAGGAGCTCCACGGGAAGTACTACAGGGCTCTACATGAGGCCTTCGTAGATACAGTCGCCTCCCTCAACTGGCTACGTTTCGGTGACCTATTCGGGGAAACCGAGGGTTTTGTCTGTACAATACAGGATCAGATTATTAAGACCAACAACTATCGGAGATACATCCTAAAGGATGGCACCATCGACATCTGTCGAGCTTGTCGCCATCCCGGTGAGTCGCTTAGGCATGTCATCTCCGGTTGTTCGGCGCTTTCTAACTCTGAGTACTTGCACAGACACAACCTAGTAGCCAGAATCCTACATCACGAGCTCGCTCTGAAATACGGTCTCGTGGACCGGAAATTGCCGTATTACAAGTACTTGCCGGAAGCCGTGCTCGAAAAGGACCGTGCCAGGCTCTACTGGGACCGGGCCATCATCACAGACAGGATTATTCTTGCGAATAAGCCTGATATTGTGCTGATGGACCGGGCACAGTCAAGGATATTTTTGGTCAACATTACCATTCCGTATGACGAGAACCTCGTGAAAGCCGAAACAGATAAGCGAACAAAATATCTGGACCTGGCTCACGAGGTGACTGACATGTGGAGTGGTCTGCCGGCCGAAATGATTCCTGTAGTCGTTTCTGCGAATGGGCTAATGCCAGTCAGCCTCTCGGGTCGTCTGAGGCGACTGGGACTTCGTGACGGACCGCTCCGGGCTCAAATGCAGAAGGCGGTGCTCCTCGATACCGCCCGCATCGTCCGCCGGTTTCTTTCCCTTTCCCCCTAACCCTCGGCCGTTTGGTCTCCCCTGCCGAGGGCTTCCATCTGGTTGGATCTTATTTATTTATGTATTTTTTGTATTTATATTATTTTATTGATATTTATGTATATTTATCTTTTCATTTTAATTTATAATTATATATTTATAGAACCCAACAAGATGAGAAAATTATATAGATACCCCAAAAATAATAATAATAAATAACATAAGGATAAGAAGGGGTATCTTCCAGGGCGATTGTCTGAGTCCAATCTGGTTCTCCCTCTCTCTGAACCCTCTGAGTACCTAATAAGGATACATACACCTCCACGTTTTTCTTTTGTTCTACAATATGGTGAAGCTAATTTAAAATTTTTAAATTGAATGTTACTCTCATCTCCCTTTTTAACAAATGTTTCACTAAAACATAAAAAGTTTATTTCTTGCTTATTTATTTAGTTAGTTATTTAATTTATTTGTTAGTTCATCAATACATAGTTCTTTCGAATCAATTTTCTTAAGCAAACCTGCTATGTTTTGATTTAGTATGGAAGTAATTTCATGTTTTTGGTTGTTATTGCGTATGAAAAAATGGAGTCGTGTACACATTTACGTTTGTGCTTTTTTCAACAGTTAATGTCTTAATTAATTTATTCACCTTTTTGAATTAATATGGTATGGTGTCAATTTTAGGTTCAGCTGTTTTGCTTTCATTAGTTAACATAATTATTTCTTGGGATTTTCCCATAATGTGCATCATATCAGATATATTACTGCGAATTTTAATAATAATTTAAATATTTTTAATAAAATGCTTTTCTATTATCTATTATTAGACTCTAAATAAAATTTAGAGTCTAATAATAGATTAATCTTTGCACTAATATTTGCGTGATATTCTGTCCTAGACCTGTTTGTGCATTCAATAAAATTACAATTTGGAATGTTATAGCACAAGTTTTTTAACATATTATTTAATTTATATTCATTTAAATATTTATTGTAATTAGTATTAAGTATAATAAAGTTTGTGTTTTTTAGTATTTTTATTACAGCAACTGTTTCAAAGAATATCTTTGTAACGTTACATGACAAGATATTACGTCTTTGAGAGATGGCATTCGCAATGTTAGCTAAAATCGACATCGATATACTCATTTTTGTTTAGTTATTTATTTTTGTTACTTTATATGCATAAAAATATTTTTAAAATAGGACTAGACTTATTATTATTCGAACGATCAAGTGAATTGTTTTCTAAATCAAGTGATGATGATTGTTATATTACATTTCAAATATTGGTTTCGCAAACTTCAAAAACTAGTAATTAGGGAGGTATCAACACAAAGGCTTGACAGACACGTGGTACATGAGCTAGTTGGATCCCATTTGCAATCCCAATTTTATATGCAGACTAACGATTCGCCTCAGCTTTGCACGATTATTTCATAGATCTCGACAACAATGCCATTTACCGGGTCCAATTGTAAGTATGGAAAATATAAACCATCGATTATATTCAACAAAGCTTTATCAGCTTGGATGAAAATATATCTAAATCATGAAGATAAGGCAGGATTTTAATAATGCTGTGTAGCGGCAGTGAAAAAGGATTCACTACCACCTTCCAAATAATATATATTATTTATTACTCAGAAGCTCTAAGACCGTATACCATCCCGTGAGTATCGTAAAAGACGACAGCAAATAGAACGTGAGATAGGAAACAGTATCTTCATGATAACAACTCAAAATATAAAAAAATTACGGTTGCCAAACCACTTGTTAAGGGAGGTAACTATGGCAAATATTCCCTTACGTTCAGCAGTGGACTTTTGATTGGCTATATTTAATAAATGAATGATGGATAATATTTTGAGGGAGCAGAAAAAAAACGGTTAATTAAAGGTTCGTAATTGATTTATTGGTAGTTGTGATCAAAGTTAACTCTAAAGAGAAGGCAGACCGCGGTCATGCCACTATTATATCATTATACTACTTTACGTGGTAAAGCCACGCTGCAGCTATAATAGTTGTAGTACGAATGGGCTGGCAGGTCCTCGCTCTTACAGAATACCAGCGTAAAATAGCAGCTTACCGTTGCTGTTTTTGATTGCACAACAGCCTAATGCTGTTAAGGCTGTTATGTTGAGTGTATAGAACCGCTGATACAGCAGTGAAACTTGAGTTTACGTGTGCGTGTGTGTACCAGTGATTTCCTGACTGTTATACATCCTAAACAAAAAACCACGTATTAAAATGAGGAGAAACAGTTGCTATCCCGCAAAATGTAACTAGCTCTTCCCTTTCGGCGTACACCATTTTTACCACTTGCCTCTGTGTCATTTCAGCTAAACCTTTAAGTGAAGATAAAACAGTAGTGACTCCAGTTTCGTTAAGATTGATAATACGGTCAGGAGCAAATGTATAACGTAGCATTACACACTCACCATTGTGAAAGAAATCATTCACTGCTTTTCTATTAATCGAGAAACTTTGTGCTGTGCTTGTGTTGTCTGGTTGTTTGAGGCTAAGGGTTCCTCACTCTAAATCCTCTTGACCAGACTTTCCTAAAACGTTTATTTTTCTTTCATGATTCTAGATATTCGACATCTGAGTATTCTGCAAATTCATAGGCCAAAACCAAAGTTGCTGCAAGAACAACGCGTAGTGCATTTTGCTACAGTTAAACAAATATTATTTTAGAATCTTCTGCTCTTGTTTTGAAAATACTTGAGCAACAGTGTTTGTGTTTGACTTAGACGATGATACTTGATTAATTTTATTACTTAATTAATTTAATTTTAATTTTTATACGCATCTTTGGATAAAAAATTCATGAAAACCCGCGTAAAAGAACATATCGCTGATGTGAAGCACCGACGGCTCAAGAAGTTTGAAGTATGTCAACATGTTCAGTATCGTCCTAACCATTATATCAGATCTGATAGACCATGAATCCTCACTAAAGAACCGCGATTCCTATCAAGGATTATTTTCAAGTAAAATTACCTATAACATATTCAATTGTCCTCGAAGGAATCGTACACATTTTGCTCCCGTGCTATGTTGAAATCTCACGACCGGCTACACAGTTCTCATATATGCTTAAATAAAATTCATGAAAACTGACACAAAGCTTTTGCAAGATTGGTGACCACATCTACCGAATAATTAGACATCTAACGATGCCACGAGTATGTATATATATACACCCAATATATTCAACTAAAGAATTCTCTCATAATCACAGTTTTGTGTACACAGTATTAAATATGATAGTATCTTAGTCTTATTATGGTCTGTGTACCTATTTAAAGTTTTAATTCTAAACAAATAAGTTTCAGTAACCTCTATTATTTAATTTTATCAGTGACTTATCATTGGTTTATTTAGCAGTATGTAGATAGAGCTATTATTTGATGAAATAATGAAAGCAAAACTATGCTATCTAGTAATATCATCGATAAAAGGTTGGGGTCCGACTGTAAAGCCGCAAACATTAATTTATTATATAAATAAGACATAAAGTTGCGTTTATTTTGCTAAAAACTTTGTTTGTGTTAAAACATGCTATCAGGTCTATCACTTGCATGGCATAGTCAAAGTACATGTTCTAGTGAAATATGTTTCTCAGTTTGTTGTACAATACCTATTTTAACTATAGTATATCTATATAACTACCGAAACAAAATGTTTGAAAACAAATTTGTAGAAATGTTGTCATGACAAGTTTGACGTTAATTTTGTATTTGTAGGCACTTCAACTTTTTTAAAATAATCGATTCTAGAGATGAAGAAGTTTTATTTTTTTTATCCATCAGTGTGTTTTTTTTTCATTCATTTACAACAAAAATTATTGTAATCAATTTTTATTTTCTTGTTAAACTCATCTAATGACTTTATAGACAGAACTAAGTTTGCTGGAAAAATTTTGTCTCTCGTCAGTTGTGTTCTAGTATTATGCACGTTGGAGAAATGTATTATTCCAAAGGCTGCTACTTTTATTTAAAAATATCCCAAATTTAATATAATTTACGGGCAACAAGACTTTTGCCTACCGATCGACATTTTATAGACCCTTACGAATACGAATGTGAGCGTGTACAGTAAAATCACTTAAAATAATGCATTACCACGCATTTTGAATTTAAAATATAAAAAGGACATAAAGTTTGAGATTTATTAAATTAATTTTTCTTTACCGTTTGCCTATATTACTTATTTTAAACCTTCTTTGCTTTGGCCATTTATCACAAAATGACCCAGTATAGCTTTTCAAGGAAACACATTATTATTGGAATAAGCCTATACCTACTTTGGCAAGCTTTGTAAACTTAGGAGGGAAAGGTTGTACATGCTTTCATATTTCTTTCTCAAATATGTAATTAGTAAGTAGAATATGTTGTGGAAGGAAATTTTCTCCTCAATTAAAACAAACTATGAAGATGACTGTGAAAAACTACATTATTTGATAAGCAGCTTTGTAAAGTTTTTTTTTAATTATATATTTTTATTTTTATTTAATAAATAAATATAAATTTGTATTTTATTATGTTCTTTTATATCGAGCTCTGGGACAGATAGCCCAAAATAATACTCCAAATAACCCCCCCCCCCCTAAAAAAAAGATTAAATTTTCCCGCCACACGAGAGAAATGCAGGTAATCTGACTAAAGATGGAGCCAGTGGAAATATACCACATTTGTTTTAGTTTGTATATCTTTCTTCTCCGCTAGGGAAAATAATGTTTTATGATGTTTAGCAACTAAATTGGATAACAAAAAAAAAACATTATTTAAAACAAATTGCGAAATATAAAAAACCAACAGTGCGAAAGCTAACGTTGACAGACCTATAGACAAACAAATAGAATGTCTATAGTACGGCCAACTAGAAGCGATACGATAGGTCATTTACCTTAAAACTACTCTTTTCATCTTGTGTAATTGTCGTAATGTCGCGTTTTCCCGGCAAAAACATCTCAGAGCTGGTTCACATTAGGTCGGACCGACAGTTTGCCGTTCACCGACTGCCGGGTGTTGCTGTTCACTCTAGACGCCGCTGACCCGAACTGTCGGTACGGTCGTTCTGGGTCGTCACAAAACAGTTGTGAGTTGGCTTTCGTGTAGGATGGACGACGACGACGTTTTCATTGCATTGTGGTATTTTAATAAAAGGCAGAAAAAAAGACATTATATTACATCTACATTAATTTCGCCCTCCATATTGAAACATGTCTTCTCTGCATATACGTCGATGAAACTGCTTGCGCGAGTGCCGAGAGCGGGGTAAGGGCGGGTGGGATAGTGGCAGGCGGGTGTCGCCGCCGCTTCGCACCGACAAATGTGAACGGCGCCATACTTGCTAGTACGCAAATATTATGTCCGATCCGACAGAAATCGTAGCTGGACGTACGGTAAAAGTGTCGGCTCCGACAGTTTGGTCGGGTCGCCCTAATGTGAACGGCGCTATTGACGTACATACGCCAATATGAATCCGACACGTTTGTCGGGCCGGTAAAACTGTCGGACCGATCTAATGTGAACCAGTTCTTAGGGTCAAGACGGGTTCCCCAACATTCGGGAGGCTATTTTAGTAATTGTTGTTTATTTAATTATTGTTATTTTGTTTTGTTGACAATTGTTTTTTATTAAGAGTGGTTAATGATGGAGCCACAACATGGTAAGTCGAGAGATAAGTCAACAGTTTTTACTTCTCCGAAAAAGAAACTTCCAAAGGTATGTATAGGAAAGGATGTATATGAATGGTGTTTAGTCGTTTTAATTAAAACTTCTTGATTCGGAGTGTACTTTAAAGATATCTTAAAGTTATCTTTCCTTTATTTTAAATTATCTTAAAGTTATTTTTTGATTATCTTAAAGTTATCTATCCTTTTATACGTCTGTGAGGTAGACCATTCCATTGCTGCTTAAGTTTTAGTTAATTATTTTCAAAAATATAATTTTATCCTACGAATAATGACTCGTTCTATTATAAGCTATGAAACCCTTGTTCATGCTATGGCTGGAGCTACGGGAAGTGTGGTTGGAATGACAGTATTCTACCCATTGGATATACT